ATTTCCGCGTCAGGCTACTCCAAGAAGGTCCTTCGCAAGCCACATTACATTCATGCTACTACGATTCTGAATGCATGTGGGAAACGTGCCGCACCCCGAAAAGGAAGGACCACTAGCGAAATATTTTTCTCGAGCCACCCCGATCGCCATTATTGCAGTGAAAAAGCCGGTGCCTCAATTTTAGCGTTGTGAATCATCGAGAAACAGTAAAATGGGCGGAGACTTTACGTGAAGGCGTTACATATATAGCGGCTCGTCAAGAATTTATTCTTCTTCAGATGGTCTTTTTTGGCCAGTATTTTAATTTCAAATTCCCGTAACCGGAACTACCCGTCTTAAGAAGCAGTTTTAGCACGAACAAGATCGGATGCGAGCAAGGCCCTTTGCGAGGATGCGAGCTCCTTCCCCTACTTCCGTTCGTTTGCTCTGGATTGAATAAAGAGCCATTCGAACAGATCTCTTCCCATGATTGCGCTTTCTTACGATAATCATTGCTGTGGACGTGCTTAATTGTACAAATGACTTGGAAATACCTAAGTAAACTATACAATCTTGCTACCGGTCAATGATGAAGGATACGCCCTCGCTGATCATTTTTTTGGGTTGCACCAGGCATTTTACTTCCGTTCAGAGTCGTAAGGACATTCGAATGGCATTCGCCTGAGTCTACTAGATATTGTTACCCTTGTTATACCCCTTGACCACATGTCGTGCTTTCAAAAAGATAAACTGTATACTCATCTCTGTAGATCTTGGTCCTTATTATGCGCAAGGTCAGTGGGTTCACAGGTGTGCGCCCCTGTCTGTGCGAAAGAGCATGAGAACGGGGCTGGGGGCTAAGGATAGCCGGACGCCGTCTCCCGACACCGCCCGCGCTGCAGCACGTCCATCCACACTCCAAACCATAACGCGCCGTCTCACTTTTGCTTGTTGTCTATGACTGACAGCGTGTTGCTGCGGAATTTTGCTATCGACACAAGTTGTACCAAGCTTTGAGGATGGCATAGAAGGGGTCAGAAGAGGGGGCACGGATATCACTTCTCTCCAGATCCGTTTCCGTCCACTCTTGAGTAGAGAAAGTGGCACACTACTGCAGCTGCGGACCAAATAACCTCGCAAGGGAGGAGATTGTATAGAATTTTATCCTTGAAATGATTGCTTCACGTGTTTTCTCTTCGCCATGATGTTTTCTTTTCAAGAACTTCCGCATCGGCGGTGCTCATTGCTAGAGATCGGGTGATCAGCGAACAGCTTTTACCGGGAGTGGATTTCAAGTGAGTCATTCGGTTCATTTGACTCTACTTCATTCGGACTGAGGCTGTCAGTTTCGATGACTGCGAACTCATAACCTTAAAACTGCTATAATTTGATTATTGACTTTTATTAAATCCCATTTTCTTAATTATAACAACATCATCAAAGACAAAAATACAGAATTTCATAGGATACTGGGCTATTAACGATATAAATATAAGTGAACAACTTCAAAATTTACACATTGAGAACATGAAACTTTTTTCTGCAGACTTCACAAATATGTTTACCAACCTACCACACACTCACGTAATGAATAATGTTAAAGAAATTCTCAAAATATGTTTCAAAAATAGTAATAGAAAATTCATTGCTAGTAACAGATATAGAACCTTTTATACAGACAACACATCACTAAAAACCTATAACTACTATACGATTACCGATATAATGTATTTACTACAACTACTTGTTGACAAATAGCTACTGTAAATTCTCAGAATATATATTTGTTCAAAAAACAGGTGTACCACAAGGAAGTAACGTTAGCCCTTTACTGGCTGATCTGACACTGTCTTATTTTGAATACTACTACTCTCTCAAAATACATAAGAAACAAGTCAAACTGAAACCTTTCAGATACATGGACGATATCTTAATTATACACAATACCAATACGCAAACCATCTTAAAAGAACTAGATAAAACATATAACAATATACTAAAATTAGAAGTTACGAATGATGATGAATATAAATGTAACTATTTAGATCTAGAAATAAACATAGATACAAACAAAATATCTACAAAAATGTATAACAAAACGGACAATTTCAATTTTTCTATAAAAAGATTCCCTAACGCTGAAACTAATATATCTAATCATATTAAACATAATACAATTTATTCAGAAATATTGAGAATAGCACGAACATGCTTAACAAAAAAGATTTTTTGGATAGACTTAGGTATACCAAAAGACAGTTGATCAATTCTGACTATAATACAGATACTTTTGCCATATGTCTCATGAAATGTGTAACAAAAAATGAATTTATAAAACATAAATACAAACTAAGAAATATCGAACTTTTTAAAACAATAAACATCTGAATTATGAAAAAGTAGAAATGAGACAACAAAATGCATGAATCTAACATTTCCTCTATTGAAAGTCAAAATATTTTTTAAGAAAATTGATTTGAGGAAAGAACCTAAGAAAATACGTTGCAATCACATAATTTCTTTCTTCTACCTAATCACCTCACTTCTGACAAAATCAAATAATGACAAAAATTAATTTTGATAATTATATTTACAAAAAGTGTCTAATATTTATTCTAATGATAAGATATAAACACTCACCTTACCATCCATTGATAAGTTACGTGGCAAAATGAGTGATGATAAGAAGTCATAGATAGCTCGAATGATAACAAGTCTTATCATGTACACATAGTAACACTCTTCATTTATGTACACACAGTAACACTCTTCATTTATTCAACAAACAGGCTAAGATGCGGTCAAACCAAGTGGAGTAAGTTGTTTTATAGTTCAATAATAAACTAAATACTTAATCAAGAGAAGACCAGTGTAAACCAATATCTCTGTTGGTTTATACTAGATCAAATTTGTGAAATTGTAAAATTATAAACACCAAAATTTCAATACTTTCTCTCGAAAACTGAAGGTAAGTAATAGAATAGAACAACGAAAATATTTTCATAAAAACACTTTTTTTGATTAAATAATCAACTCTTCACAATAGAATTTTCCTTCTTCCCTTACTGAAGAGCACAGAGAAGGAAGATTGGTCTCGTTCAGTTTCCGTCTAAGGGCACGTGCGAAACGGAAACTGAACTACTTCTTTGAATCGACCCCCCTCAAATGATTTAGCTAAAATGAATAAATGAATTAAAGTTCAGAATTACCTTGAAGTAATTTTCAACTTTATAGCAGATGCCTAAGATTTCTTAAGACTCAATCTTTTTATTTTATTTTATTTTATCTTATTGATGGGTTTCTCGACCGCTTGTCACATTTGTGCAAAAGTTGCTGCTGCATTCGAATGCGTGCCTTTCGATTCAGAATCCGGATGAGTCATTAAAAAAGTTCACGATCGTTAAAGTGAAACCACCCAAAACGCTGACACACTTCTCCGGACCAACCTAATACCAAAGAGTCAGCTATCGGAATAATAGTTGTATTGAACCACCAAATCCCCGTCCCCAGTTAAAGTTTACTCCTAGTTGGAGGTGTTCTGCAAAGCCACTAACTATGGGGGACGACTACGCAGAAAATCAACAGGCCGAAAAAGTTCTCTCGGGCACCAATTACTCCCCCCTGACGCCAATATGCGTTCTTTGATGCTGATGGTGTCCTTGCACGCTACATCCGAAATATCGGCTCAGTGGAGTTCAAACGATTGAAGTATGCAATTTTATCTATTAATTAATATCCATGTCGCAGTAATCAGCTCCCGGCTTACAGATATTCTCAACTATGTTTACGGGCCAACAAGGAATTCTCGAAAACTTGCGCCAGATTTAACAAATCTTCTGCATTGCATAGAGGGACCTCCTGTTTCTGAGCCTGTTATTTTTGATCGCTGTTGATTGTAGTTCATTAAGTTTCTATTACCACATGTTGATGCACGAACTTAGTTCGAGGTGGCGAATCCAACAGGCTTCGGTAGAGACGACGGGTTGATTTTGACCAATTTCCGATGTTGCAGACTACACCTTTTCACGGTCATTTGTCAATTACAAGTATCCGAATACTGCAAACGTCCACGCTGACATTCAATATTTTCTTGAGGGGATTTCCCACGATGGGTGTTATTTTACTTTATTTTACCTGATAAAACTGGATAAGTTTGTGGTTCTTGCTCATGGCTGTTATTACAGAATGCGTTTTGTGCCTGTTTTCCTGACGTTCTATTCACTGAGCCATTGCGTTAGTGCGAAAATAGACCATCAAGACGTGAAACATCATCACAAAACGGCAACAAAATCCAAAATTGAAGACGTTCACAAGCACGTCGACTTGGCCGACATGCGGAAGTCATGTGAGTTCGTACCATTTTTTGTAACTTTTTCTCAGAATTATTTCTAGGAAGGGACCAGTTTATTCTTTTGAGGTAGGCACTTTAGGCGTAAGTTAACTATGGTGGGGCGGGGCGGGGGTGCTGTGTTCGAAGAACTCCTGCTTCGCGCAAGAAGGAGAAGAGTCGCACGCATCCTAATCTTACAGAAGGCCTCCATTAAATGCCTCTTAATTGACGTTATCCACATTTTTTGATTTTGGATATCATCAGACTGGGTTCTCAAGCTCATTATTGTCGGTTTTTGAGCTGGCGATTCAGTAAGCTGAAGGATACCAAATCCTTAAGCTGCTCCACTGGAACTTGCCCATTTGCTCAGCCCGGCACTAGAACGTTGTTTTTATTGGTTATTTGAATAACTAGCAGATTGTCTACACAGTCACACATCTACGCTAGGGTCAATATTTCCCAAGCAGGTCTCATTTCTCACAGTTTCATTTCAACATTGCTAAATGCTATGTTATAGAGCTTTCAACATTTATGTTGAAAGCTCTATAAAAACTTTTTGTGTTTTGTCCGGACCTGGGCCACGAGTACAGCGTAGTTGCTATTCAGGTTTATGTTCTCTTCATCACTTGAAGCGAGTGGCATCAGCCCCAAGAGTTTCCGCGTTTGCTCGAGAATATCCGCTCGAACATGCTAGATGGAAGTGTAGTCCGCCTTGGCCTAAAAATATAATATAAAAATATATAAATATTGCGAGTATGAGTCGTATTACCTAAGCTATAGAATACTGAATAATCCCTACCAAGTGCTCCATACCGCTATCTTTCATTCATGGTGGATTGGAAGAATTCGCATCTTAGGATATTTGACAGCAATCGGTCCTTTCTCCTTCACTCTGTCTTTTCCATTCTTCCTTTTCTATCTTTCCTCTTCTTCTTTTCCTCCCTTCAAAGAATCATCCAGACCACGCGAGAAGAAGATACCTCGGAACATTCAGGTTCATGAAAATGCCTGGTAACCAAGAATCCGTGACATGGCTCGTTTCTTGTCTCATTGAGAATGCGCGAACCAGAAAGTATTTTATTAAATCTGAGATGTAGCGGTCGGCCGTGACGTACGCGCCGTATCCTTGGATTTCGAGGCAAGCTTAGTGGCGCCGGCGCGTGTGAATCGATTTCTAGGTAATCCTTTGGTGACATTTTCAAATTCCCGGTGAAGTGGCAGATATCCACATTAATCACGCGGTTTCCGCTCTTCTTACGTTTTCCCAAATGCGCGGCTCCTTTCATTTGCAAATATAAAACTCGGCCTTAGGGCACCTCAGCCCATATGGGCTTGGATCGCCTCTCGGGTTTACAAGTTATGGTTCTACTATTTATCACAATGATTCGTATACCAATACGGGTGTGCCCTCGCGAAGAGTCCGCCTACTTTGCTCTCCCTTCTGATCCTGATTGAACTGAAACTATACCAAAACGATTAACTCGTCCTTCCCCAACATCGTGCTAAAAGTTTCACCCCATTTTGCGCTTTTCGTGTGTTATGCTAATCCATGGCTTGCTTCTCCTCTGACTAACAATAAGTGCTTTTGTTAGCTCAGGTTTTGTTTACTTTTCGCCTTTTGAACGGCATATATTTATGTGAAATACATCTCTGTTATAACCTTCCTCCGTTTCCACCAGCCCAGAATCGCGCTGGCGCGGTAGCGGAAAAACGATAGTAACGCCCGCCTTCTGATGATCCTCTACTACTTTCGCTCCCTTTCTAAAAAAACTGTGCATGCTCTCAGTAAGCACATGAGCGCGCCTCAATTTCCGTGCGCTGTTTGGCTGATAGAAGCATGGAGGTAACGTGGCGTTAGCGCGTTGGGGGTTGCAAGGAGGGACCACTCATTAGTTTCCCCCTTATCTTTTCCCTTACCAAGGCTCAGGCCTAGCCGAGACTATGCATTCTGTGTGGGACTGTCCATCGGCGACTCTGTTCGTCCGGGCACTTTGAGGTTCCTTTTTGTATAGGTCAGAGCAGCGGCTGGTTGTCCCCCCCCCCCGACTACGTTAGCGTCTCACCATCTTAGATAAATTAGACCCTTGCTTTATACGTCCATATACACTAGGATACCTTCCCAAGAGCACATGTCTCGCTTCCAGCGCCAATTTAGTTTTTCCCTCGTTATCAAGCGTCCACTGTGGTCATATGACACGTCCAGCAAATAATAAACTTTCGTATGAATATCGTTTTTGAGCAAGCAATCAATAACCACTTTCTCATGGCTGCGCTCACGTGGCAGTGCAAAGTAGAAAACAGCCGAACAGGGCAATTCATTTTCTGTCTGGCTTCGCGTCTTCTATTATTCGTGATGGTGAATAAAACCACTGTATATGGGCGGCTTCCAAGGTGCTCGTCGTCTTGCGATAACTTTCGGAACTCGAACTCAGCGCTAAACAGGAGTTGTCAAATAAAGATTCTCGAAAACTTGCGACTCTTTGCGTTGTGGGCAAAAGCTCTTGGCCCCAGGAGGGACAAGAACCTGACGCTTTCCTTGGGAGTGTGCTACTCGCTACGCTGCCAAGGCCACCTCTTGCCTCCTAACCCTTGATGACTTTTGTGCCATAGCTCTGTTCTTCCTGCTTTTGGATTCTACTTCTTCCTACTAGATCAAGAATTGAGAGTTTTTTAGACCCAGCGATTTTTAAAGCATCACATTACTGTCGGGTTATAGGCGAGGCGAAAGCTTTTCTAGTCCGTGCGTGGCAATGTCTACCAGCGGCTGTGGCCATTTTGGCCTAAAGTCTTACCCATTTTCCAGTGATCAACCAAATCGTGGTCTGGACCCTGAAACCACTGAATGGGAAGTAATTTTTATCGTGAATGGTTTAAAACTGAACCGATTGGAATATTTTTGTGTTCTCCCCCCCCCTCCCTATTTCACCTTAAACACTGTTTTTTTCTGTTGTGTGTGGTGATTTTGAACCCTTAGTGAATCACTCATGTGCAGATACGGAGCTTTTCAAGGGAAAACGACGTGATCAACTTGGTGCTATTGAATCCATAGTGAATATTGAGGAATCGAAGCGAAGGCGATACGTTGAAGAGGTCAGCCGTGGTTTACTATCCTACTTTTTTTCATTCACTCTATTTATACAGGCTGTACAGATTCCTGGGATAATTTGAGAAGCTTTATAAAGGGTCTTTGGTGATGTTTACCTCGTAGAAAGCTCAAAGCAGCATCAGCATTCATACTTTGCTACTCGAGCTAGTTTGTAAT